GAGCCAAGTTACATAAAGACAAGTTACACAGAGCCAAGTTGCACAGAGCCAAGTTGCACAGAGCCAAGTTACATAGAGCCAAGTTACATAGAGCCAAGTTACATAGAACCAAGTTACATAGAGCCAAGTTACATAGAGTCAAGTTACATAAAGACAAGTTACATAGAGCCAAGTTACATAGAGCCAAGTTACATAGAGCCAAGTTACATAGAGCCAAGTTACATAGAGCCAAGTTACATAGAGCCAAGTTACATAGAGCCAAGTTACATAGAGCCAAGTTACATAGAGCCAAGTTACATAGAGCCAAGTTACATAGAGCCAAGTTACATAGAGCCAAGTTACATAGAGCCAAGTTACATAGAGCCAAGTTACATAGAGCCAAGTTACATAGAGCCAAGTTACATAGAGCCAAGTTACATAGAGCCAAGTTACATAGAGCCAAGTTACATAGAGCCAAGTTACATAGAGCCAAGTTACATAGAGCCAAGTTACATAGAGCCAAGTTACATAGAGCCAAGTTACATAGAGCCAAGTTACATAGAGCCAAGTTACATAGAGCCAAGTTACATAGAGCCAAGTTACATAGAGCCAAGTTACATAGAGCCAAGTTACATAGAGCCAAGTTACATAGAGCCAAGTTACATAGAGCCAAGTTACATAGAGCCAAGTTACATAGAGCCAAGTTACATAGAGCCAAGTTACATAGAGCTAAGTTACATAGAGCCAGGTGGCACAGAGCCAAGGTTAGGTAGAGCTTGCGTAGCTATGTACCGGCGTTTGCAGCTATGTAAGTTAGTTTAGGTTTCTAAGGCGCCGGGGCGGGAGTTTGATCGTCGCTCGGGATTGCGACCCTCTGTGGAGATTCGCGTGGTCGAGGTCCAAAAACTGGGGACTTTTTACGATTTCTGAGGTGCCTCTGCGGAGATGCGCGTGGTCGAGGTTCAAAAACTGAGGACTTTTTACGATTTCTGCAACGCGCGACCCTCTGCGGGGATCGTGCGTGTCGAAGCGCTCTTGCTGTGGCGCCGTGCGTATTTGTTGCTCGCGAAATGGCCTTTGGAAGTTGTCTCGTGGCTCGCGCGCCTGATTTCGCAATCCCGCGGTCGCGGGTTCGATTCCCCCCTGGTCCGCGGCAGCTCCGGCTTGAAAATCGCAACTTTTAAGTACAGACGTAGTATGCGGAGCGTGCTCCCGCAGCTCAGGCTGGAAAATCGCAACTTCTAAGTACAAACGTAGTACGCGGAGCACACTCCTGCAGCTCCGGCTGGAAAATCGCAACTTTTAAGTACAGACGTAGAATGCGGAGCGTGCTCCCGCGCAACTTTTAAGTACAAACGTAGTACGCGGAGCACACCCCCGCAGCTCCGGCTGGAAAATCGCAACTTTTAAGTACAAAAATGGTATGCGAAGTACATTCCACAGCTCCGGCAGCACTTTCGCAGAGCAACTTGCGCAGAGTCACTTGCTCAGAGCAACTTGCGCAGAGCAACTTGCACAGAGCAATTGCACGAAGCACTTGCGCAGAGCAACTTGAACAGACCAACTTGCACAGAGCACATGCGCAAAGCGCTTGCACGGAGCAACTGGCGCAGAGCACTTGCGCAGAGCAACTTGCTCAGAGCACTTGCGCAGAGCAACTTGCACAGAGCACATGCGCAAAGCGCTTGCGCGGAGCAACTGGCGCAGAGCAACTTACACAGACCAACTTGCACAGAGCACATGCGCAAAGCGCTTGCGCGGAGCAACTGGCGCAGAGCACTTGCGCAGAGCAACTTGCTCAGAGCACTTGCGCAGAGCAACTTGCACAGAGCACTTGCAGCAGCGTGCAGCAGCTTGCAGAGAGCAACTTGCGCGCAGCAGCCTGGAACAATGCAGCTTGCGCAGAACACTTTCGTGAGAAATCGCGCGGCGCAGTTCGAGAGGAAAGTAGGATGATGAGATGGAGCTCTCATGTGACCATACACACTGAGCATCGCCGCGCGCAGACACGCTCGCCGCAGCGATGTAAAAAGGTGTCTCCGCGGCTGGATGAGCGCCTGTGGAAAAATGCTTTCGGGCCAATCGTCCTCTAGTTTTTGAACGCCAAGCCAGATGGTGTCCCCGGGAACGAACCAACCACAGCCAACCAGACAAAAGCATGGTAAGTTGTGGTTAAGTACGGGGTGTCCAACAAAGCATCCTCGCTGCTTGCAATATTCAGGACATCCGGAGGGGTGGGTGGGACGTAGTTGTCCTTCTCTTGGCTGTCTTCAAACCATCCAATCAGAATCCCAGGCATGAAAAAGGGGTTCACTCTGGGTTTCCCTCCAAAGGTTCTGTTTTGGATGCCAGGGGTGGTTGATTTCCCCAACAGGGCACTGTGTTTAAGTCTACCTCAGATATCACAAAAGGATGGAAGCCTGTGAACTGCTGCTTTCCCCTTGCAAAGAAGCATGTGTCAAAGTCGGGGGGGGGGGGGCCGAAAAAACCAAGGCTTGTTGTCCTTTTGGTTTCCCGTTGAAACCAAGTTGCAAGCCCTCCCAAACAAAAAACCACCGCAGCTGCCCAGCAGCACACCCTGAGGGAGGCGCGGGTACTGTAGTCCCTCAGCTTGGAGGCCGCGTGCTTCCACGCCGCGTCCACCTGGCGCTTCGGGGGCCAAAGGCTTCGCTTTCCAATTGGGAGTTGGACCGGGTGCTCCATGCGCCTCGAAGCATTGGGGACAGTTGGACCGGGGATATTTGGACAGGGATGTTTGGACTGGGGATATCTGGACCCACGACCCCACCTTTGGACTGTGTCGGAATCAAAAACATGAAAGGGATACCCTCTTTGCAATCACGGAAGTGGGGGAAGGAAAGCAACTGGTCTTCTAAAGCGCTGCTGTCAGCTTTAATTTTTGTTGGGGGGAGGGTGGCTTGGGGCTGGACTGAGGGTGGGTGACCCCAGAGTCGGCAAGGAAACATGAATGACCAACTTGGTCAGCCAAACCAATCTCCGCCGCAAAATATGCTCGCCTCGAAGAGCCAAAGCAATCGCGGCTCTTTGACGTATAGCCCAGGTCAAAATGGCAATGGCCGTGGATGTGTTAGAACCCTCTCCTCCCCTTTCGTGACCAAGCCAAACAACAGGCAAGTTCAAGAATAGCTTTCCTCCAACCAACAGGTCCTTACCAAAAGTGAGCCACCTCAACTCATAAGTTCCCCCCTTCCCCCACCATCCCCCCACAACCCTCCCCACCCCAACCCCCCCTCCAGCCACCCCCCCCCCCCCCCACCCCGCCACCCTCGGGCTCCCGGGCCAACGGCGCGGCGCACGCGCCCGGCCGAGCCGGCGCCCGGGCCGCCATGGCCGCGTCCTGGGGCCGGAGTTCCTCGAGCCGTTGTGCCGCCTCCACGCCGGCGGCCTGCGTGTGGCTGCCCGTTTGAGGTGCCCCTCTACATGTGTGTGTGTGTGTGCATCTGTCAATTTTGGGGGACCCCAAAAAAAGGGGAACAGTTCCTCTTAGCTTCAAACCAAGAAATAGACAAGACCATGTCGGCATGAGGAGGATATGAGGGGGAGAGGAGGCACTTGTCCAGGGGCGCTTAAAGGGGGCCCACGACCTTGGTGTTCTTTTGAAATAGCTCAATTGCACTGCCTAATGATTGGAACCAAAGACGATAGCAGTGGAATTCATCCGCAGAACCTAACAACACCTATGAGGCCCAAGACAAACACAGGGCACCCTGAACTTAAAGTGGGGATCCTTCGGTCAGACGAAAACATGAGGAATCATGTGCATCAACCATGTTAAAGTGGTTGGTTCCCAATGGAAACTTACCAGCTACATATGAGAGATCGACCAAAAGAAACCACTGAACCATGGAAGTACTTCTATCCTACACGCAACGCTTCCCTTGAAAGCCATCTAAAGAATCAACTTTGGCCCTCCCAACACCGCGTCCCCCGCATCCCACCGCCGCCTCCCGCTTCCCAGGCACGCCATCTGGAGACTCAACTTTGGCCCTCCAAAAACCTCGCCTCCCGCCGCTTCCCACGTCCCCACGCCTGCGGCAGCTGCTCGCCTTTTTGCGCCTGGGAGGCCGAGCGCCACGCCAGGTTCGCCGGGTCCTTCGGCCCCAGCGCCGCGAGGCGCCGAGCCGCGGCTCTGGAAGGGCGGCACAGGGAGAGAGCCATGGCCACGGAGACGTCTGCCGGTTGTGGGGCGTGTGTCATGTGTGAAATTGAAGGGGTGTCCTAAAACACATGTGGGAAACCCCCAAAGCTTCGTAGGCGCTGGCTGGCAAAACGAAAAGAAACAACCCGCTTTCCGTGAGTCACACTTACTCAGAAAAAGAACCAGAACAATCTAACTGGTCTCTTGAAGGCCATGAGTTGGCAAGTTTAGACAGGAGTTCGATAAATCCCACAACCAGCTTGGTAGAGTTACACGTGGAGGATGATGTTTGCAACTTGAAAAACAAACGTTTCTTGCCAACAGCGTGTTTTTGGTGGGAAGGATGAGGGGTCGAACTCGGGTCTTGGCATTTTGGCTTGGCATTTTGACAGGACCTATCCCTGTGTGGCATATGTGTATTCAAGCTGCATCTGATGCCTGAGTTGAAAGGATGCACCTCATGATTCAGAAGCTTTCCCTAGCGCGAAGGCGGCTTCTGTGTCTACCACACTTCCACACATACGCCGAACTATGGCAAGCCCTCGTGCATAGACCATGGTGCAGCGGTTGACGTGAAATACAATGTGTAAATCCTGCCTGAAGCATGAAGCGTGAGCGGCAATGCCCTGTCGACCGGGACAAGAAATCTTCGGTCCAGCATTTGATATTGATAGAAGAGCTGTCGTTTCGGCTGGAGTAGCAAAAGGCTTGCCAAAACCCCTTGCTGTTGGTTCTACCAACATGGCTATAAATTGGTTTATATCGGCCTTGCTGTAAACCCTGTGATTCGTAGTAGAAGGATCTACCACTCCAAGGTTCAAGCGGCGAAGCGACACCTGCCACGAACCGCGTGGGCTCTTTTCGGCGGCCAAGGGCCGAAGTACTGCATGACGGCCAGCACGTTTTGCTGGCTCAGCCAAACCTCAATGCGAGACCCACCTCTTGAAGTGACTGCCACCAATTCACATGGAAGCTGACAGGGGGGTCCTTCCATTTTTTTTGGGTGGGAGGGCAACCCACCAGACTTGGTGTTGGGGTTCATCCCTCGGCCATGCATGCTGGTGAGGAACCAAGCAAGCACAACCTGCAGGTCCATGTGCAACTACAAAGGCTCTCCGGTTGTGCACATGTATCCGTTCCCCCAACTCAACAATAAGCTTGTGTGGCAGTATCATAGCTTCACAAAAATGAAACCACGAGGCTTTGGAGCCACCGGCAGACGTGCCACCTTCTGGCCGCACCAATCAAAGGCAACTTGGGAGCCACGACCAGGAGAGAGGAAAACAAAATGGTGCGGTCACTGCAATGTGCAGTGACTACTTTCCGTTGTGGGTGCTTTGGCGTATGGCCGTAACGCAAGCTGTCGGAAATTCTGCAAAGACGCATCACAACTGTCTGTGGCGTCCTTGCAGTGCGTCCCACCATACAGAGAACTCAGTCGCTGTCTTTACCTCCTTGCCATCTAGCGAGCGAACACACGCCATGAGTAAATTCGATTCGCCTGCCCTCGTGCAAGAAAGAAAAGAAGGGTTGCTGTTTTGGCACTGCTGATCACTCGGGTATCTAGAGCACTTGATCCTGAGCTCGATCTCATTGTGCTTTGCAAACGGGTTCAATCTAGCTTGTTGCGCTCAAACAAATTGCCCCACCTGCTAAACAAACAACGTATTGCTCTGACACCTTCTCTGCGTGGTCCTTCGCGTTGCTTCAGAAAGGACCCCGAAACCAGATCTGCTAAGTTGACTGGCCAAAAAAGTTTGAACTTTCTGAGTCCTGCTGGGTCTGGACTCAATACAATGAGAATTGCAGCCCTCGGCTAAGGCGCGCGCTGTAAAAATCCCCGGGGATCTCTCCTCGGGCTCCTTGGGCGTGCATGCGCTCGCCGAGCAAGGTTTCTCAACAAGCAGGCCGCATCGCTGTGTGAAACCAAAGGAAACTCATTGGACGGTTTTCCAAGGCTAGCACTAAACTGCGTTAGGTCCCAGGGTTCGAGGCCAAGCGCAAAATATGTTGTGAGGGCTGGAACCGTTTTGTTTCGCTCTCTCGCAGTCCATGGTTGCCATTCAAATGTCTGGTGCTGGAAAACCACATGGAGGATTGGGTTTTCGAGTTGCCTGCCAGAAGGGTACAAACAGAACAGCTTGCGGGCCAAACCCCTCAAGCTGCTCTTTTGCAAAGTCGGATCTGCGCGTACCCCTCGGCCTTTACCTTTCGGTGCTTGGGCCCAAAACAACAGGATGGCCATTTCAAAGGAAAAATACACGATCGAACTTTATAACCATTTAAGCCCCAGTGGCTTTTGTTCGTGCCCGTTAAGGCCAAAGGAAGATGTGTGTGTGTGTGTGTGCCTGTTTGTCCCTGGTTGTTGTGGTCGACGCAAATATGCGACTTCCCCATGTTGACGACCCTCATTTTGGCTTCCACGTCAAAATCCCACTTCTGCGCGCCGAGTCTCGCTCACAGAAGCTCGGGCCTGAGGCGGGCTGAAGGGAGTTGAGGCTTCAGTTTCTGATGGATAGGCAGCAGTTGTTTGTTTGACAAAGGCATAGAAACGGGGTCAAGCCATGATATGTTGCAAAAAGAAAGAGAGAAAGCAACGGGCAAAATCTTCGATATGAGGGAAGCAAGGAGACAACACAGCAGCATGATCAGAACCGGGGCCCAAAAGAGCCTTGCGCGCTACAACTTTCAATGCTTCTTGTTTTGCTTGCAGACCTCCCAATTTCTGCACATATGTTTGGCTGCAGTGCGGTGGAGACGCATGTATCGTGTTGAGATCAGCTATCAATCAAGCACGTTTGGTTCCGAGACCTCAAAAACTCTTTCTTTGGCGAACCCTTCTTCCTCCGCCGCAGTCATTCGGCCGGACGGTTTCAATAAGACCCGTTTGAACGGGCAAGACTTTCAATTCTTGGCCACCATGGAAATCTGACAATAATGTGTTCCCTTGCGTTCTTCCGTGTTCCATGTTGGTGCCGGCGAGCCAAACGACAATCAACCATTTAACCATTTGGGGGTTCCCGAATTCGAAACTCTGCACGTAGCCGAGAAGGCAGATAGACAAAGCTCAGGGCGCGGCTTGTTGAAGTAGACCCAGAAGAGCACCGCGGGCCCCAGGCTAATGATAAAAATCGCCTCCGGCACGTGGAAGCCGTGCCGTGCAGCCGGGCAAGCCAAGCGAAAGAAAGAAAGACGAAAGAAAGAAAGACGAAAGAAAGAAAGAAAGAAAGAAAGAAAGAAAGCAAGAAAGAAAGAAGGAACAGCAGCCAAAAAGCAACTAAAAGGAAAAAGAACAAACAAGCAATACAAAAGAAAGGAAAAGCAGGGACTGTGGCCAGCGCCGGGCAGTTTGCTGTTTCTCTGGGTTGACTCCTATGCCTTCCAAAGGAGAAAGCCCTCTTTAGGGAGGAAACCATTGGCGGGGGGGGGGGAACGGGCCGAACTAGTACGACACACAATTGCCAGAACGTGTAAAGCCCCAGAACCTGAGGAAAAACACTGGGAAAGAATCTGGAGGAATCAGAACCTCGGGGGGGTTGGGGGGGGGGGGGACGAGGCGTATCTCGCGTTTCTCGCCGCCAAGAGGCCCAGCCCAGCTGCAGCAGCGCGTAGCCCGAGTTCCCCGCCATGGCCACCTGGGGCACCGCCTGGGAAGCACGGGACGATGAAAGGGACAAGTGAGAAGCGTCCCAAACCGCTGGCTGTTTTTTGTCTTTTTAATCCCACCAGCTAACATCGGATTGTGCACAGACCCCTGTAGAAGGACTACTTTCCTCTTGGAAAGGGCCTTGGTGCTGTCTGTTGGTGGGAGGGTAGTTGGGGGTTCCACTACCTGGCTTGATAGCGGCTATACTAAACCTGTGAGTTGCAAAAACTGCTGGACCCCCTTTAGGTTATTGTCTTAGGGGTCCCCGAAACGACCTCAAATCGAGCCCAACTTGTCTTCCAAGGCCTGACGTTGCTGGGGCGTGACCATGTGTTTCTTTCTGGCGGCGGGAAGGGGGGCCGGGTGGGGGAAGCTTACCACAGCAACCAAAGAGTCACCTATGGGTGATTTGTTTGGTGCCAATGACCATTCAGGGTCATACCCTTCCTGTGTACCCACGAAGGTTGAGAATTGTAGTCCTCACGCTCTCCGAGGCGCAACTTCAGGAAGCATCTCAAGGGCCAACTTTATTGCCAAGACTCGGAAAATCGGCGTCCCTTCAACATGCTTCCTGACACTTTGGTGTCGCAAGGAAATGCACCCATCAGAAATTTAAGATGATGCAAATTCGTGTGAAGGCGAACAACCAATTGCTTGCCACGTCATCGAGTTGGGGCCCTTGAATCACCTTAGGTGCGCCTTACCACATGGGAAATCCCCCCGCTGCCCCTCGGGAACCCAGGAAACCCCGAGAAACTCTCCAGGAAGCTAACAATCCCCTACACAAGCTTCTAAGAATCCATAAAGACAGGATGACATAAAAGGCAAACGAAAGTTTGTCAGACCCCCCCCCCGCAACACCCCAGGCCCCCAGTTGTTTCTTCGGGAAGGGTAACCCGCCGCTTGGGCCCGGACCGCCACGGCCGCACCCAGCAGAGCCGCCTCGCCGCCCCTCAGCTTGGCCTGTGGAGGCTCCGGTTGCCTCGGCTCTTGGAAGAGCTCTCCATCGTGTGGCTCGTTCTTTCTGAGGCTACTCCTTTTCAGGTTTGTTGCAAGGGAGGACCAAAGCAAAACCATGTTGAGGCTCCAAATCCCTGTTTTGACGCCTTCTCTCCTATCTCGGGGAACAAGGGAATGGAGTTGAAGCATCCCTTCAGTCTTCCCAGCAGCCTTCCATTTTCCAGCCCGGAGAGATTGGGCCCCGGGCGTGGCGGGCGCCACGAAGCAGTAGCAGCCCAGGCAGGCCACCAACAGCGCGGCCAGAAGGATGGAGCTGCTACGACGGGCCATGTCGATGAATCGTCTTCCGCGGCGCCTGGGGCGGGGCGCTTGGGCTTCGGAGCGCTTCAAAAGTCGCCAACTTGCCATAAACCGGAAGGCCGCCAGAAAAGAAGAAGAAGAAAAAAAAGGCGGCTCGACTTGTTCACGCATGGGCACTTTCAATGTGCCTGACATCCTCCAGAGGAAAAAAAACAAGACAAGTTGGAAAGGGTGGACACTTTGTGACTTTGTGACGGACTAATGCGGGGGGGCCATCTTCCGGGCGCAAAAGGCACCGGGAGACTTGGGCGCTGTGAACACATGAGTATGAATCTAATGCGTTTGGCGGATATCAGCTACCGATGTATGTCCACCAGCAATCTTTCAGGGCAGACTCACAGTCACCCGCTTGGGAATCACATCTGCTTCGGGAATTCGGGGGTCTGGAAAAATCTGGCCCAGCCCAGTCCGAGACTCCCCCAGGAGTGGCCCCAGCGCGCCAATTCTCAGAAATTTTCTCAAGATGAACCACCCCAAGATTACCCCTTCGGGTGCTAAAGGGAAACCGCAAGAAAGCCAACGACCTTCGGGGTCCTGCAACTTCAAGCCAAGCCCTGTACCAATCGACCCCTCCCACTTTGCCGGGGCGAGCTGGGCATCCCGCCTGTGCAAGTGCTTCCACGAGCCAAAAAGCTGAGGAAACGAATGAGCCAGTAGCAAGTAAGCTCGCTCAAGTCAAGGCAAGTGTTGTTCTTGGTTAGGGTGAACACATTAGGTGTGTCTTCTTTGTATAAGGAACCCTCCGATTGATTGGTTTCCTGGTGGTTGTTCTTGAAAACGACCCGAAAGAAACGTTCTCACCAAAATAAGGAACAGCCACATGCTTGTGCTCCTCTGGCTGAGGCCAAATTCCCCCCCCCCCCCCCAATCTGCATTGCAAGCTTGCCTCAACTGGATCGCTCCCAGCAAATTTCGGACTCGGCTGCTGCGCACGAACGTCCCTGTTCGGGCTTGTGCCACGATGAGGGCATATAGATTCCACGAAGGCACGGCCAACGTTTCAATTCACCCGGGCTTTGAACAAACCTCAGCTCACCTCACGTTCAGCCCACGTGAGTGCCGGAACATTCCGTCACGAAGCGCTTGTAAAGCCTGGGCCCGGCACGCAACGCATGGGCCATGGAGAGTGTTAGGTGAATGTTCGGCAAGGAATTTGATCCATACACGTCAGAGACAGTTGGGTCTCAGTTCGTTGGCTCCCAATTGGTCTGCTGTTCTCACCTCAGCCGACTGGCTAAAACCAGTCTAAACTTCTTGAATGGTCTTCCGCAAAAGCAGAAAGTCCGGAAAGTCAGCATGTGAGTCCTCCGAAGCAGACCAAGAGGGTCTTCCAGTCAAGCGGCAAAAATGCGCCACTTCTCAAAAAACTCACGGCCAGGCCAGGGTCAAAACTTTGCGGGTCATGTTTCTGGTTGCCTTTACAAGAATGCATTCTCATGCTTGTCTGATTTTCGCCAGGTCAAAGACCATCCCTAGTGATCCCAAATAAGCAGGGTGTTTAACCATTTAATGTGAACAGGTCCTTGCCGTTTCAATTGAGCCCTTGGTGGACATCATTTACATGTGGATTTATGCTGCTGCCCAACCATTTTGAGGGTTCCATTTCATGTTAGCTTCCCCTCTTTACTGAAGTATGTCTCAAATGTTCTTCTCTCCCATGGTCTTGCGCGTATGCTCATTTCAAGTCAAAGGCTGGGCCTCGGCTAGAATAAAACTCTTGGCAAACAGCAATCCGTCGTTTGGCTTTGTCTCTTGTGTTCATCTCTATCCATTGGGCTACCATTGAACAACCAAATATGAAGCAAGTTGGGAACGGGCAAAGCCACGTTGATGCTTCACGGCTTGAGCCGACCACCACCACCACTACCACTACCACCACCACCACCACCACCACCACCACCACCACCTCCACTATCACCATTACCACCTCCACCACCACCACTTCACTTCACTTCACTTCACTTCACTTCACTTCACTTCACTTCACTTCACTTCACTTCACTTCACTTCACCCGCCAAGCCGCGCCATGGCATGTCTTTGCCTGGCCTCTCCGATCAGCGACCTGGTCGCTGCGCCCGACATGTCGGCTGGGCAAAGGCCACCCCCTCCCACACGAAGTCTTCTGATGGTAAGTTGGAGGTTTGGGGCGCCTTGCTCATGTGATGCCCCCTCAAAATGGAGTACGCAGCCCCTGGTGCCGCTGCTGGGAGAAGAAACCGATGCTCTTGCTGCGTCTCAAAGATGTTGATACCAACACTTTCTAATCAGCCTTAGTCACTTCTGCATGGCAAATAAAAACTGTTTCACCATGCAACTGTGACATTGACAAACCCCGGGCCCAGACTTCCCAGACCCCCCGGCCTGAAGGGCCCGTCGGCCGTCGCCTTCAGCACGCCGAACTTGGGGGGCATGCGGATGCTCTGCGGGGGCAAGGAGTTGCCGCTCGGCTCCTCGTTTCATCCAATTCGATCCGTCGATCCGTCGATGTGCTGCGCTTAACACCTGGACCACAAAAAGGGTTTTTCAGCACCCAAGCGATGGTCTATTCTGGGCCAATTAGACGCCAAAACGGAGGTCCAAAGAAAAAGGATCCCCTCCGACATGGAGGACAATGCCATGCTGACCTGACGCGCTTGACTGCCCACTATGTCACCGGTGTGTCCGCTTGCTCCACGTCTCCGTCTATCCCATCGAGCACAAAGCGCATGAACCCCCCGCCCTGCCGCCCCACTGCGCAGGCAAGAGGCATATCTGAAGGTGTAGACCTTGGTCAGTAGCAAAAGGGTTCAACAGCCTACCTTTGGAAAATAGTCTGGAGGCTCCTGCATACTGTGTACTCTGGTAAGGCTCAACCCCTGAGGGTGTCGTTGAAAATTATGCTTTGAATTCCACGACATCGGGTTTCCGCGCTGATCACAAGTTCTCCTCGCTTTCTATCTTCGACGACAGACTGCCTCGTGTGCTGAATGTTCGAGACCCATGTGCTATTGCAAATCATAGCCCCGACCAACTCCCAGTAGCCAACCTACTGGAAAACCCTAAAATGCCCGAAACAAAACAATTCGCTTTAGACTCGGCGCCTCGCCCCAAAAGCAACACGAGCGCGGTGCGGGACAAAAACAAACAATCCAAACGAGAACGATACAAAAAGAAACAAAACAAAAATCAGAACACACAAACTAAAACAAAAAACAATACATAACTAAACGAAACGAAAACAAACCCAAAACCAAACAAAACAAACCAAAGCAAACCGAAAACAAACAAAACACAACAAAACAAAACGAAATAAAACAAAACAAAACCAAAAGATCCAAACCGAATCAAAACATACATAAACCCAACCAAAACAAACCAAACCAACCAAAAGACAAACTAACAACCCTTTCCCCTTGGGCCCCCAGGCCATGTCCGCCTCCGCTTTCTGCTGGTTGTAATTCTCCCCCTCCCCAGGCCTCCGGGTCCTCAGCGATCACCCCCCTACTCGCCTCGCCAGGGTCCAAGCGAACTGTTCAGGTCTTGGGATCACCCTCGCCCTCCACCTTGGAACCCGAAAAGCTCAAAGGGTCTAAGAACATGTCCGCCTGGTTTGCGGAAGGGTATGGCAAGGCTACTTTCGGAACATGCGCATGAGCGAGGCGGCAAGGCTTATCGTCTTAGGATCAGGAAAGGAACAAAGACAATGTGCTGGTGAAACGTTCCCTCACCGCGAAATGTTGCACAGCTTATCGCACTCATCAAAGAGAGCTTGGGAGCGAGATTCCTTCATGGCAAGGTCATTGGGTGTCAATACGTACCACCCATACTTGTTGTGGAAGTAAATGGTGTCTTCGCGAAGGTCACTTGAAGGACAGGTGGCAGCATAAATGCTACTTTGAGCACCTGCCACTACATCGATGCGGCCGCAAACGCAAATGCTCATCAAACATCCTTCACAGCAATTCTTTGGTTTGATGAACTGCGACTTGATGACCCCCGGGTGAACCGCAATGATTTCGGTGTCAATGCCACGGCGTTTCATCTCCCTAGCCAGCATCAAGCGAGCAAGACAAGCATTGGCATAGGCTGAGACACCCTTGCCCTTGAAGTTGGGATTGGCTGAGCCATCCGAGATAGCATAGATGTCACCTGTGACCCACACAATCCGAACGGGTTTCAGCAGGAAATTCAACATGTGATGCCCCACAACGCAGGTGGCAAATGTGATCTCCACATCATCTTCACTGCTTCCTTTCTCGTCAAATACTGCCCCTGCATTGTTAATGAGGACATCTACGACTGGATGCTCTTGAAAGATCTGCTCGGCACATGATCGGGCACTCCCAATGCTCGAGACATCACATTTGAAGATCTGCGGTTTGACTTTGCCCGGTGTCTCCACTGCGATGGCTTCAGCGTCGTTTGTGGCCTTCTCCATGTTGCGTGCTGCCAATAAAACTGTTGCCCCCTGCCGTGCAAGGGCCAAAGCCGTTTCAAATCCGATGCCACCCCGGGATGGCCCCGTCACTACCACAGTCTTCCCTGTCATATCTACTTCCCTTGCTTTGAAATTCCCTTGGAACATCATGTCCTTTGCAACGCGCCATGCCATGTCCGAGGTGGATTCTCCTGCGAAAGCAATGAACCTCTTCTGAGAATTTGAGCCAAATCCTTGAGCCCAACCCAGGATTAGCTATCCACCGCCCGGATGACTAAAGCGGGGGGTTTCACAACTAGTATGAGCATCTAGATCCTTCTTGGGAGAGTTGCACCCCCCTGGTAATCTGCCAGATTAATCTGGGGTCAACATTCGGGAGGAGGGTGCGGGTTCCTGGTTGTTCCTCTCCGGGACAAACAACCAGTTGACATCCAAAACAAGGAAATCCCCTGGGTTGTCCAAGAAATCCTTTAGGGTGGGAACAACTTGCTGGACAAGGTTCCGCGAAAAATGACCCTGATGGTTGGTTGCGGTTGTCCCCAACTTGGCACATACTAGCCAAACGCGTCCCTAGTTAGATGTACATCCAAGTTTCCCATTGATATTGACACGACGGTGGCTCCGCTCGAAGAATAAACATCCGAATGAGATTCCCCAAGCCGCTAATTAGGGGATGCTGCCTTCACACAAAAGATGAAATGGAATGTTGCGATATTCCTACAATTGATTGCTGGGTGCTTCTATATGAATGCTAAACACTCAGCCCAGCAATGACCCCGTGACGACGTTTCCCGAACGCATTGTGCTGCTCGTTGAGGTTGTGCTTCCCGCTGGCTATACAGTCGCTATGCTCCAAAGGCTATACCGCAGTGATTAAATGCGGGCACTGTATGCTGCAGTCTGCTGCCCAGGCACACATCGCGCTTGTCGCCGTAGGATCGCCCATATCTGTGAAGATGCCATTCCTGGAAAGGAAACCTGGGCGATGGGATAGACTACAAGCCATCCCAACCCTTTTGGGCGCATTGTTTTTTCATTCAAGCCGCGTCTCGACATGCACGAACTCATTCTCTTTCGCGGAGTCGATGATGTAGAAAAACCGAACCTGCGAGCGAAAAAAGCCACACCTGGCAACCCTTCCCCGAAAAAGCGGGTGAGGTCCCGAGGTACCCCATGTCAAGCTGACTCGTGCCACCCCAACAGGACATGGAAAGTATTGGGGGGCCGGGCCATCCCCGTGTTGCTGGGGACCATCAATTGCTAGTTGCTCGTGTAGCTACAAACTTGCTTGGTTGGAACGCTAAACAAATGGTGGTTGCATCCAGATCCAAAGTCATACCCAGGGGTGCCCCATTTCCAACAGCCACTGTCAGTGCCCCCCACCCCTCCCCCCTCACAAGGCGCAGGCTCCCACCGCACCCTTGCTGGAGGACACCTGGCGATGATTGCACCCGCTAGCATCAAGTTCTCAGCTATCAGGCTGAGGACTTTTTGCCTCATGGAGAATCGGTTGAGTCACAATCAAAGCCATGTAAAGAAATAAAGAAATCCGGCGCAGATCTGCACCTATTTCCAGGGGCTGTCTCTTACCCTTCATCCACCTGAATTTGCTTGTGGCTCAGTGGGGGCGCTCCAGAAGGCATCTGAAAAGCCAGGTACCCTTGCATTAGTCGAGTTCCAACCCCTGTTTGGAAGAAAAGCCCATGTGAAACTACCATTCGTCCAGCAGAGTGGAGGTCAAGGTCGGAAGCGGTCACAGGTTTCCCACCAAGTCTTAGGGATGAGGCATTGCTGCGGTTGAAAGAGAGGCACAGTTGCACTATGTCAACTACAGGAGTGACTGCCAATTATCTTAGAGTACCAAATACATTGAAATACCCTCCGGCACTGGTGAGCAACTGGTGACATCCACCCCTTCAAACATGGACGCTGGTGGGATGGTGCCCATCTGACAGTCCCTCTCGTCCATACAACTCCCAGTGTCGGGCACCCATCCTACAACAGCAGTCGCCCCGAGTTGGCTAGTAGCCAAGATTGGCGTGGCCGCGTCAAAGAAGAAACCTCCTTCATGTGTGTGTGTGTATGTGTGTGTGTGCGCGTGTTTTTAAGCAACCTGTTCAAAGGGAAACCAAAAAAAAACCACCGATTCTGTGGATCCCCCCACCATTTTCACACATGGCCAAACCTCTTTCCCCAACTTGGCCAACTCTTTGGTGTCAACCGGGCACTGCCAGAACTCTTCGAGGCCCTCATTTCCCCCCCACCCCCACACCATTTTCAGAGTCCAATAAAAGCCTGCAACAGGGCTGCGGCTGCCACTTCAAATCACTGGTTGTATGAATCCCATAATTCCCTTCAGGGCATCCTGGCACCGCACCCCGCCCCCAAACCCATTCCCCCCCCCCCCCAGTTCCCCACCATCTTCTCTGAATAGGTAAATAGATACGAACTAAGAAAAGGTGTACAACTTACTAAATTACAGTGAGTATGCCAGCCCCTTCCCCCGCCCCCCCCCCCCCCCGAAACTCACGTCCGGATTTTTGCTTTTCCCACGCCTTCACGATCCCTCCGGGCTTCATGAAGGAGCGCAGAGCCCGGAAGAAGAGCCGCATGAGGTTCTCGTGGCGCCAGTTCACGCAGGGGTGGCCTCCGCGAGCAGTTTCAGATTTGTTGCAACACCCAGAAAGAATTGCAAGACAAGTCAGACGCACAAGAGGAAGTACCATGTTCAGTGGCGCCTAAGTTGAAAGAAAATCCCCAACACTAGCAACTTTCGGACCGCTTCCTGGAGTCTCCTGCAGTTGGACATCTGAGATCTGACGGGGTCCCTCCCCTTTTGTAAAGGACCTGAGTTCCACGTTTGCATGGGAAACTGTGTAGCCACCCTACTCACCTGTAGACTTCTGGCTAGGCTGGTCATGATGGAGCCACGAGGCTCGTAAGCCTCGTTATGGGACTGTCTCAGCATAGCGCGCCCCCAAAAGGGGCGTTGCTGGTCAGTGTCGCTTTGCAACCACCCCAAAAGGCTCCCTCGAAAGAGACATTGTGTTGCCTGCTACTGACTTGAAACGACTAGCGCTTTTCTTTTGGCCCCTGGCTTGTCCTTGTAAGCGGCAAGAACATGCTCACGCTGTGAAGCAAGCTTCAACGGCATGGCTCTGTAGACTCTAGCAAGCTTTGTACACTTGCCTCATGCACGACCCACAAATTCAGCAAAATGCAATGTCAATGGAAGCAAAAACAAAAAATGCAAAGGTATGCCACCATGTCCTTGTCAGCACCCACCTCCAACAAGCACCGAACAACTTCCGAATGGCCACTGTGAAAAGCACAAAACGTCATGGTGTCCGACCATTGCTGCCTGCCTTGTCCTTGTCAGAAAGCACCGCACAACATCCAAATGGCCGCGTTCACAAGCAACATTCAACGGTGTGACACCTTGGCTGTCTGCCTTGTCCTTGTCGGCACCCACCTCGAACAAGCACCGCACAACTTCCAAATGGCCGTTGTAAGAAGCAAAATGCAACGGTCTGGCGCCATGGATGTCTGACTTGTCCTTGTCAGCACCCACCCACAGCAAGAACCACACAATATCCAAATTGCCACGTTCACAAGCAACATGCAATGGTGTGCCGCCATGGCTGTCTGCCTTGTCCTTGTCGGCACCCATCTCCAACAAGCACCGCACAACATCCAAATGGCCGCGTTCCGAAGCAACATGCAATGGTGTGCCACCGTGGCTGTCTGCCTTGTCCTTGTCGGCACCCATCTCCAACAAGAACCGCACAACATCCAAATGGCCGCATTCAGAAGCAACATGCAATGGTGTGCCACCTTGGCTGTCTGCCTTGTCCTTGTCGGCACCCACCTCCAACAGGCACCGCACAACTTCCAAATGGCCGTTGTAAGAAGCAAAATGCAACGGTCTGGCGCCATGGATGTGTGCCTTGTCATTGTCAACACCCACCTTCAGCAAGCACCGCACAACATCCAAATGGCCGCGTTCAGAAGCAACATGCAAAGGTGTGCCGCCATGGCTGTCCGCCTTGTCATTGTCGGCACCCACCTCCAACAAGCACCGCACAACATCCAGATGGCCGCGTTCAGAAGCAACATTCAACGGTGTGACTCCTTGGCTGTCTGCCGTGTCCTTGTTGGCACCCACCTCCAACAAGCACCGCACAACTTCCAAATGGCCGCGTTCAGAAGCAACATTCAAAGGTGTGACACCTTGGCTGTCTGCCTTTTCCTTGTCGGCACCCACCTCCAACAAGCACCGCACAACTTGCAGATGGCCATTCTTAGAAGAACAATGCAAAGGTGTCAAAAGGCCGTCCGTTCCATTGGGATCATGAGGCTCTTCCAGCAGCTCTGCAACAACTAGTGTGTTGCCTCTTTCAGCAGCCTGTAGCAAATTATCAGTTGCGTTTGCATACGGTCGTACAACTGCCGTCAAGCACTCAGTCTCCTCCCAAAGACTCTCAGGCCCCAAATAGCCCAGGCCACTGACCAACGCAAGCTGCCTGAAATTTTGTAACGCCAAGTGTTTGGCCAAGTGGCGTCGCAGTGCATCAAACAAGCACCCCGTATCATGTGCTTGTAGCTCGTCCCACCACGAGGAGAACTCTGTCGCTGTTATCACTTCCTTCCCATCAAGCAAGCGAACACACACCATGTTTGACGCTGCGCTCGAGCCGCACTTGCTCATGCATTTGTGAAGGAGCGGCCTTGCATCCATGAGAAGACTCGAATAGGAAAGCAACGGTGCAATGAGATCAAGGCACTGGAAAACGAAGAGCATAGGCAGAAGATAACCCCCATTCACGGATTTTGTTCAAGCAAACAATCAGCCCAGCGATACATTTGGGAATGGGTTCGTGTTTCGGAATTGTCATTACTCAAATAACAATTCCGAAACACTAACTTTTCCTACCAGGCTCAGCCACAAAACCGTTGAAGATGTGCCACATGCTGAGATTTGTTGACTTCCTGATCGCGTGTCCAGCTTCTCCTCTCCCCGTGCAGTACCGCACTGGCCCCGCCGTCAAAGAAGCCGCTCACCGCGCCCGCGTGGGGGAAGTTGTAGTAGACAGCCCCAAGGCTACCCTGGCCGCGCGCTCCGCTGGGAAAGCCCTCAAAGCGAGCGCCGTTTGGAACAAAACGCAATCGGAAGCCAGATCGCAGGCTTGGTGTTTTCGTGGGACTCCTTTGATGTCCTCATTGAGCACCCCACTCAAAGGGAACTTCAAGCGACCCAAACCTGGTGTTTCAAAATAGATTGACCGTGGCAGGCTGTGGTCCAGGGCCCGGAGGAACCTGTACTTGCTTAAAACACCATTGACTGGTTGACTTTGCTAATCAGGCATCCCTGGAGGAAAAAATGTAGGACATCCCACTCAGATGCCAGGAAGAAGCATATGGTGCCAGGAGCCAACCATTTTATGGGGATCCCTGTGAGTTCTCTCAATATTGCAGCCTTACATGGTTGCCTGCCTTTTGGTTTCACTCAAAAGCTAACCCAAAAGGAGACCATGTGGCTTTCACACTCAGCGCCTCCATCCCCTGGAAGCGGTTGTCCACGGCGATGCGTGTGCAATCTACGCCGTGGTACACCTGGCCCATCGATGGCAACTTGGCCCAGCGATGCCGTCGCTCCAACCATCAACAATCATTGGCCATGCCACATTTCCCGGTCATTCCCACACCTTCCATCATTGAAACTGCCAATTTTGACGGTCGTGGGTAAATTTATAGAATTCATGACGGGACATGAGGAATCCACAAAATGCAGAACCTTCATCATGGGTGAGCGTCGACTGTATAGCGGGGTGGCAGCATCTGTCTGCACCTCATGGTAAGCGGAGAAAGCGAATGAGATGTCATGCCTCAGTGTAGTAGCCCTCCAGGGTCTTGATGGTCTCATCAATCTCCTGCGGAAGGCTTGTTGTGTGTGTGTGTGTGTGTGTCTGTTGCGCGCTGTTGGCTCTCACCATAAGGGTCGAATATGTCCAAGAAAGGACCAAGTGTGAATGCTTCCGCTGGGTACAAACAATGAAAAGGCAAAACTACAAGTCACCACCTCTAACCGACTCAATCCTCTTGCACAAAACGAGAACCATAGTATTGCTTCACGCAACCCCAAACCAAGGCCGAAATGCCGCAATCCGACCAGAGTTCCTTGAATTTCCTCTTGCAAGATCACACCCGAAGGAAGCTACAGTAGTCAAAAGAGAATGTGTTACCGGGAATGCAAAGGAAAAGGAGAGCTCCCCGCTGGTCATGATGGAAGTGGCAAAGTCTTTTTGGAGAACTTCCCGGCCTTTCCAAGGCAATCCGCTTCCGTGATGGTTGCAAGAACCCAGTTGGATTCGAGAAGGTTGCTGCTGCTCTCTCTATCTCTCTCTCTCTCTCTCTCTCTTCGCGGCTCGTGTCACCTGCCCCTCCGCCCCCTCCTTGTAGCGCTCTCGGAGACATGGCAAGGTCTCAAAAGTGGTGGCGATCACACGGCCCACGTGGCCCAACGCCTGGCAGAAGAGCCGCTTCGGGTCTCGATGAGACTTCTTGCTCGGATCGTGCCGGCCCGTGAAGCGCACCATGCGAAACAGTACATGAATCGTTTGGGCAGAGGGCTGACGATTGTTTTGTCCGTCGGAGCTCAGTGCTTGTGTTGGTTGGAAGCTTGCTTGTACAAACAAAATGTCACCAATTGTGGTGCCACTGCTAATTGAATGGCATGGTAGGAGGGCTTGCTCTTGACCTTACTCATTGCCTGTTGCGCGGGGAAACAAGATTGCTTGCTTCCCTGTGAAGATTCAAGCGGCGCTGACTTGTCTTGCCCTCCTCACACTGACTCTGCGTTTCCTCATGCCTTCAAACTGAGCATTTGACCCACATTACCTTCGAAGAGCAAGCAGCAAACCCTCATGCTCGTCGAAGGCCAAGCTGATCCCCCCCCTAGTCAACCAGCTGATCCCCTTGATCCCCTAGTAAACCCCGTGCCTCGCGGTGCCGCGCCAGCTTCAGCGCCTGCAAGGTGCCAACAATCCAGCATGGCTTGGTGCAGAAAACCTCGCACTCACGTGTGAGTCATATTCAAATCCCGGCATTCACAAGAGGCGGGCACTCCAAACCTCGCATTCAAGGGTAGGTCGTATACTCAAGAGGCAGGTCATGATTAAGGCCTGGCATTCATGCAGAATGACTGGCCAAAATCATATGCCAGATAACACACCCCATCTCGCAAAAGATCCTCAGTCAAGGCACGAAACTAAGATTCGCATCACCGAAGATGGCGGCCACCGCCACGGGGTCAATGAGCTCCAAGCGGTTGAATCTGGGCGAATAGCGGCGGGCCCTTTAGACCAGACGACTCACCTGGACAAATATTATAATCGGCGCTGAACAAACAGCAAAGATGGCAAGCCCGGCGAGACATCCGCTTTGTTGGGAAAATGGAGACTTGGATGGTCAAAACGGTGATCCTCCTTGGAGTTCCGCGTGGAGAGTGCAAGAGAAAAGCTGGATCCGAAAAGCGGCACCTATGTTTGATGCTCCCTACCAACAACAATACTCCTGATGCACATGCATGTCCGGGCTCAGGTTCCTTCCATCTCAATCAAGTCCCATCACAGTGCCCCGCCCACTGGCAATCTCGACTGCGAAGAAAGGGGGTCGCCTTGACAGTTGGTCCCGCAGTTGGTCCCCCCAGTTTGCTCGAGCATTTCCCAAGCAGCTCTTGGTTCGCACCCGAAGTAGGGCTTTTATTATGCTATTTCTCAGAGGTCTCAGGGCGGCGTTTGGGCAAGCGCAGGGACAAGTACAACTGTACAGGGAATAGAAAGGGGGGCGTGCAGGCTAAGACACTCGGGCAACGAGACCAAAACCATGTCCAAAAGAGCTTGAAGCTGCCCAAGCATACACGACAGCCCTGCCGCAGGTCTTCAAAGCCTTCAGTTCAGGAGGCGTCGGAGTCAAAACACATCGGGACTCGTTTGGTCTGCCCTATGTTACAGCATGTTCCTTGCAAAGTCGACAGACTTGTGCAACCAGCATGCAAAAATTGGAATCAACATGAAGCTTCCGGCAAGGGGCTCCGCCCGTGCTTGTCCCCTTTGCAGGAATGTGCCACTCACCCCGAAAACTAACCAGACAGACCTTCCAAACCCCAATTTTGGTATCCAAGTCATAGCCCAAGCCCCGACCCAACCATCCCGGTTCCTCGGTTCCTCGGTGCCTCGGTTCCTCCCGTCTCGCCCGCCCCTTCCGCCCGCTTGCCGCAAGCGCGGCTTGCTTCGAGGCCCCGGGCCGCGACATCACGTGGAGGCCCGGCTCTTTGGGCAGCGCGCCCTCCGTGAGGCCCTCGTTGGCCTCGAAGGCCGCCGCCTGCTCCAGGACCTCCTCCCGGCGCCCGGCGCGGCGTGCTGGGCAGAGGGCGAGGAAGCAAAAAAAGGAAGGGGCGCCCCTTTGTGGGAGGTCTCCGATGATTGAACCCTGAGTGCTTGTGTTTTGTGTCGCATGCTCAACTGGAAATGAATGAAACGTGATGTGAATGTTTGGGTCTAATTAGTTTCCCCTTTTTAGGTCAAGCGGCCACATTAAGGCAAAGTGGGGTGGAGTTGAGGTCACCTACTTCCACATCTACGTGTCCAGCCTTTCACCCAAAGGGGAACTGGAACAATACATGCAATTCCAGGGTCATCTCCTCTCCCATATTGGATGCCTGAGTCGCCAGTGCTTGGCGGCGCAAGCACTCTCTTTCGTGGAGTATATGAAAGGCCCCAACGTGGACACTGCTTACTGTCCAACTGTCGCATTTCGCTTATGCCTGAAGTCGCGCCTTTAGATTGGTGCAGCCAACTGGATTCATCCACCGTTCATTTCTCTGCTTGTGAAACACGAGCTCCCGATCACAGGCAAGCTGTGTCTTGCATTATCTGATCTGTCTGATGACATTATTCAACATTCCGCGAACCCTTCCGCCAAGCTTCCGTGGCGTGAACCGTTGCTTCCATGGACATGTCTTTGTTAAAACTGCTTCCGCCGGGTTCCGCGGGCATGTTTTGGGTAGTCTTGCTTCCACGGCGACAAGTGCGGTTGATTTTGGGCTCCTTTTGTTACAATGGCTCCGTGAGGCAAATCCTTCCGCCCACCTCCCACGCACATTTTGCAAGAATAATGACCACCCGCTTACATGGTACATATACTGCTGGGTAATCCTGCATCTGCGGTGAATGCGTCAGTTTCACAAGTGTGTTTGCTGGCGAGTGGCATGACTGCAAGGCAACGCCATTGCCATACTCGGCAAGTAGGAAGGGTGTGCTGCATTGTGGGAGAGAAACCGCAAAACAAGCCGAGCTGAGCCGAACCTGGTTGCTTCCAAAGCCTTAAATGAATGAGTTGCTTCCGAAGGCCGTAGCTATCGCACGCCGTAGCAGAGGGTTCCATCTTGGGCGCCTTGCGCAAACCCCCCGCAAGCAATCTCCCAAGTTTGCCCGAGCAAACGAACCCGTGGGCTTTGGCTCGCGAAGGCTGCTGCAGGCAAAAACCACGAGTTGGTGGTTCGCTGAGCCGCTAGATGGTTGTAACACTTGATTGACCTCCACTTCATCCTTATTGGACCTGATAGATCTCCCCTTACACATCTTGCCCAAACCCGTTTCAAAAGCGGGGGGGGGAGGCAGTTGCCTGTCACCAATGCGAGCGCAGGGCGTTCACCGAAAGCTACCATGAAGCTTCCGGAAGCTGTCCTCCAGGGGCGTCTCACCATCATACTCCTGGGGCATCTGGCGCTCAGCACACGTTGAATTCTTCTCCAAAACAACTCAGCTCCTCAACAGATGGGCTGCGGATTTGCACAGGGACGAGCACAGACATAGACACAGACAAAAACACAGACAGGCGGACGGACAGACAATCGGACACAGACAAACAGTCACACGGGCACACCCAAACCAAGACTTGAAACCTAGAAAGACCGAGGCGTTCAGATTCATCCAAACCATGCAATATAGTTGGTGCCAGCTCATTTTCTTCAGGAAAACTGAAGAAAAGTCGGAATGACCGCACCGCACGCAAATCGAAACCCAGACGGCTTTCACTTTGGATGACCCGGATCTTGGAAGTGGGGGGGAAGCAAAGTAATGTTGACCACCGGATTATTGATGGCGGGAGTGTACCTGGGTTTAGTGGGGAATCATTGCTTTTGGAGGGGAACACCCCATATTAATAGACCGGGTTTATGAATCCGGGGTCAACGTTAGTGGTCCCAACCTTGCGATTCGGCCAGGTCTGCTTTCTATGTCTGCTTCTATGTCTGCTTTCGGCCATGTCTGATTTTTGCTCCCTGCAACCTGAGCCGCCCACCCACCCATTGTGGGAAGCCCTTTCTGTGATCTCCAAGTGGGCCATACGACTACTTCGTCGCTTCAATCGTTCCTTCGGTATCACAGAGCGACAAAGCCGAGATTTCCCGAGTCATGGAACCCCCAACCTCCAAGGGCCACCTCCAATCGCGCCTTGGTCACGTAGCGCAGCTCCTTATGGCTCAGCTGCCGAAGCTTTGCCTGGACAAAGGCGTGCAGCTGTTGGGGGATTGCCAGAATGGGAAAAAGGAAGCACCAACAGAAAACACGGACCTTGCATCTGTGTGCCATGTGTTTGTTGGCTACTTTGCATGCATTATGGGAATGCCGCCCGAGATCTCGACCAACTTTTCTGGGCTGCGGTGGCTTTCCAGAAAGCAGCCATGGAGTTGTGCAGCAGTCCCAAGAAGAACAGCCGCCGATCCCGTCAGCAGTCACTTCATGACATTTCCATATTCAACCTACCCTAAAATATGACATAGTCTTGGGATCAGACACCCCCTTGGAGCGGACACCCCCGGCCTCTTTTGCCCACTCACGAAGGGTTATGTGGATGCCAAATGCCCCCGAACCGCAGAAGGTTCTGCAGAACTCACTTACATGCCGTGTTTGCCACCTGCCCTTGACACACTCCCCAACTTTTGCCTATCAGGTTTATGGCTTTCGCAGTATAACCCCTGTCTGTTGCTCACAGAACTCAGCCCCACCAACAGAACGCGTCAACCGGATCGGCCAACTCGATCCGACCCATCCACGTTCAATCAACAAATGCCCCAAACAACAAGAGTCCGTATATTTCACCTTTACAAATCACCAATTCACGAAATCACCAAAAGGAGGCTGCCTTTCCAAACAAGGTTTGTGTGTGTGTGTGTGTCTGTCTCTCTAAACGAAGGAATCCTAGTATGGGGCCCGGCTCTCTCAGAAGGGTTTTGCCCCGGGGAAAAACACACCCACACACGCACACACGCGCACACACACACACACAAACACACATATATATATATATATATATATATACACGCATACGGGTGCTTTAAAGGAAACTCGAAGATCAGTCCCACTTGCACTTCTACTTGCTGCTGTTTCGTCTGTCCATCGTTTCATTGACTTGCTTCCCTGGGTTTTCCAGCCCGGCCCTTGATTGACTTTCTCCGCACCTCCTGCTCCATGCTCAGCTTCCACCGGTGCCGGAAGGCCGCGATGTTGTCCACGTTGCCACTGCCCGGGCCTGCGCCTCGGCGTCAAAGCTGGGTCACTTGCTCCCAGGTTAAGGCACCCAAAAACCCATGGCTTTAAGAGGAATTTCCCTGGTGACGCCCTTTTCTTCCAGGGGAGTGTCTCATGTCGCGACCCTGACATGAGGCATTGAGGCATCAAATAAAAGGCAATTTTTTGAGGACCCCCAAGATTAACTTAAACCAACGAAGCCGGTCAAAACCAGCCAACTGGCCTTTACTAGACATCCTCATTCAAAAGTACAGGGGACACTTACCCTCCCGTCCAGCATGAAACCCACCAGAGAGTCCCTGTTGGAGGAAAACGGTCTTCCAGGACCCCTAGTCAGTGGGGGGGCATCTCAAATGGGTCATTTTGTCTGATGTCCACCAAAGGGTCCCCTATGAAAATTCACAGTCCGTCCAACTCTGAGCTGCCGGCGCTCCTTCATGAGGGCGACGTGGCACAGGACCAGCTCGGCCGGTTGCCGCTTCCTCGCATCTTGCGACCGCCGGACCCGAACCTGCGACAAGGATTGTGCATATTCTTCTCTTGCAAGGATCACCGGAACTGGTGAGCGAACAGCCCCCAAAAGTCGCTGCGATGTGCAAGCTCATGAAGCGTGGTGGACCAGGAACCAACATGAACACTCATAGCGTGGGCACATATCCCCGTGTGCGCCTCCTGGTCTTCAAACCAACGTCCAAGGACTGGCCCCCAAGACATCTGCAGCGAACAGCATAGCGAATGGCACCCAGGCGGAAATCGAAATCTCATCTAACAGAACCCATCGCACCCACGTCGGATGTCCTCCAAACTCCCTGCGACCGACATGTCATGGTTGATCCGCAAACTGGAGGAGTAAACAGAAAAGCTAGTAAGGGAGACCTCGGATTCCTTCGCAAATCAACTTCAGCTGTCTGTCCAAGGTTTCAAACACATTTGGACCGAATCCAAGCACTCGTGAGGATCCCCTTCTGGGTCCAGTGTCCAACCCGGGGTTCCACTTTTCTGAGCTGAGATCGAGTTGGCAGGCTGGCTTTCCCAAAAAGACGGAAGGGATTCAAGTCGCTACCTAGTCGAAGAAGCGACTCCCGCTGTCTAGAGAAAGAAAGGGTTGGCTGCTTCGAGTGGCACTGCGAGGACATTCGAGGCTGAGCCAAAGCCCTCGAACCGGCAGAAAGGTCAAGGCGCAGGTCGAACTTGTTGGGCGCGAAGGTGTCGCCCAGCAACTGGACACCAGGGGAGAGGGGAATGGACATGAGACTCCCCTGTTGGTCGCTGGTTCTTTGTGGAAAGCGAAAGGGAAAACTGAAGCCCCACTTTGTGAGTTGAAATAGTTTGTCTGTCCAACCGGACATGCCCAAACAAGCTGATCGAACCAGGGAGGAGTTGCTCAAGGGTCGAGGTCAGACTGAATCTTCGACGGGGATGCCTTAGCAAAAGGTGATGTTGAAGCAGACGAGTGGTTCAGACATGTTGGAAGTGACAAGTGGCAACAGCTCTGCAAAAGAGACACATGCAGCTGGTGACACGTGAAAGCCTTTGGTAGGCGCCCAGTTGCGCAATTTGCTTGACATTCGCCCCAAGCAGCCTGCAGTACCTACAGACATGGGTGTCACCTTGGCAATGGTTGGGGGATTCAGTAAGCATTGATACTGGTTGATTGACCGACCGACCGACAAACTGTCTGACTGACTGCCTGGTCGGGTTGGTTGATTGGAAGGTTCCTGAAGCTTAGACGGCTTGAGAGGACATGAGCTCATACTCAGTGAAATTCGTGGAGTCCTAGCTCTTGTCATTCATGGGTATCGCTCTCGGCGCCTGGCCATTTTGGGCATCTCTACAGGCCCCGCCCCCTTGAAAGGGAGAATCCATCTACCTGCAGGAACTGGTCCCTTCCTTTCAGATTTGGCGGGCTTCCTTTTGGTCTCAAAAGAAAATCAACCCAAAGGGAAAATCCGACAAAAAGACATGACCACATATTCAATCCGGGCAAATGATGAAAATTTCGCCCCTCTTACCCCCCGAATCCGCGATCTCCTTACAGTTTGCCCGGATACATATGTCCCAAAAACCAGGGTATTCTTGGCGCCCCTTACACCCCAACCAGCAACACCAACCAAGGGTTCTCACCATTTCGAGACCTTCGCCCAAACGGATCGCATCGCCTTCAGCTCCTCCGGCGTGAGGCTCTCGAGCACGTGCCGCGTCACCGGCTCCTGCGAGGCCACGGGTGGAGTTGGAACCAACGTGGCCATGGGTCAAAAGCCAACCCGGAAACCCCCAGGGAACATCCGATTCAATCCAACCACTAAAATTGGTTCTAAAATGGGTGGTGAATTCACCTACCAACCAAAATGGGATCCCATTGGTTTTGACCCACAGCCACGTGGACTCTGGACCATCAGGTGACGTCGAAGAAAGCGGTTGGAAGAAGGTGCAACAGGCGGATTGGATGCTCCAGGGATTCCGCAGCTTGACCCATGAACCAAACCCACGAAAGAAGTCAAAAGACAGCGCGGGTGACCGGAACACCAAAGGATGAAGGGGAAAAGTTAGAACGACACATGTTGTAGAGTCCAGAAAGAAATACACGTCCCAGCCCGACACCCGAAGCCAAGCCCCCAACCTCGAGCAACCCAAGCCCCCAAATCCCAAACCACCCGGTCCAAACCAAAACAGCCCCTCAAAATACGGCGCCAAGGCCCCCCCCCCGCCCCCCGCCCCCCGGCCACTCCAGAAAAAAAGAACTGAGACTCACTCCAATCGCTCCTGCGCCAGGCCCCATCGGGTGAGCAGTTGCTGAATCCTCGCCTCCAAATGAGTTCCGAGGGAGCCGGTTGGTGGACCCTTAGGCGGACCCTTCGGCTTCCATTCGAACTTTGACCATTGATGAACATCAAACAGGAACATAAAAATGTCTGCCCATGAAAACAACCATGGCCATCTGAGACGTCCATGCTCTGATTTGGAGAAAGTCACAATCCCCAGCCCACACAAAACGGGGTTCCCACAAAAGGGGCCCCTTCCGGATTCCAAGGTAACGGCGAAACAAAAAGCCGAACGATCCCAATGAGCTCAGCTCCCTAATGGAGACGCTGTGAGCTGGCCTGATTTCCCTGATCCCTTTCAAACAGGCCTCGTCTGCCGCAGAGGTGGCCTCCTCCTGCAAGGCGTGCGACACTTGCAGCATGGGGTTGGCCCCAAGGATCCCCCTCACCCAAACTGGATGATGTCCTCGTTGGTTTCCCAAAGCGGATGCATCATGCACGGACAGTCATCGCACACCCGCAAATGCTACTGCTTTGTGCTGATCGGTGATGGTATTCACTTCGGTGTTTCAATGAATAGCCTTTGCGACAACCCCAGTAAGAGTAGCAAACACAAGACACGTCCTCCCCCCCTCCTTTTGTCGGGAAGGTGAGGAATTTGTCTCTCCAGAATGACCCTCAGTCCATGAACCTACATCCGCAACCCTGAATCCAAAACATGACTCTGAGTTTAGGAATTTCCTTGAGATGACCCTACATCACAAACCCTTTCAGGTTTCGTCTATCCCTCAGAGAGACCTTTGCTCGGGCTCGCTGGTTTCAGGCAACTGGACATAAGATCCAAACCCCCTCCCCCAACCTTCCCCCCCTTCTTCCCCAAACCAAAAAGGGTAATCTGTTCTCCACACCTCAGGTAACCTTTTAGCTGGCTTGGATTGGTGGTTTGGATTTGGATTTGACCCCCTAACCTCACCACCAATCCAAAACGTGAGGGAAGCTGCACGAGGCTCGACCCGGCTCCTTCTTCGTCCGCCGCCTCTTCCCGATCAGCTCCTCGGGCACCTAGCGAACCGCGAGAGCTCTTCCCCCGCCGCTTTTTCGGGGTTCACCTAAAGGGAAACGAGAGCCAAAGACACGGGAAACCAAGGTGACTGCAAAAGGGAAACAGCCAAAAGCGCTTTGGGAACCGGCCCCCCTGTCACATGCGAGGCTCCCCAACGAGCCAAGGTCAGGTGGACGCGCGCAATGTTTCTTGTTTACGCCACCTGCCAGGAAAGTACATGGTGATTTCGGGCCGGAAAAATTCAGTGGTGGCGCAGTAGCTTGTGCTGGTGGCCTTCTACCTCCAGACTCTCTAAGTGGCGGTTTCAAGTTGGATGGCTCTTTGGACATTTGGCCACGTGGACAACTGGTTCCTGGGGATCAGCCAGTGAGATAGTCCAAGATGTCTTTGGTCTTCGGAGCTTGAACTGGCTTTTCAGGCCATCCACTTGCTTAAACGAGTCTGCTCTTCTTCCAAAGTGTTGGGCACTGAGAAGCTACCATCGCCGGCTACACCTTTTGCAGAAGTTGGTACCCTGCTTTTGACACTTTTCGTGTTCGTCCGTTCGTTAAGGCGAACCCCCAGGAATACCAAGTAGAACTGTCGCATGTGAGCCATGTGCTTCCTTCCCGCCCCTCGAGCACCTCCTCGTCCTCCGAGAGAAGTCGCTTCAGGCGCAGGGTGCCTGGGCACTCGGGGAATTTCCTCGGGTTTTTAAGGAATGGATGGCTCATGAACTCATCATGAGCACTTTGGAGTAACCCTCAACCACTTCGGAAGTAGTGAATATCCCTGGTGACAAGCCAATGGTTCATTTGGGTGTCCTTTTCAATGGGAGGCCTCCGTTCGGTGTGTGTTTGAAACAACAGCCCCAAAAGGGGGCGAAACTCCAAAAGAAGAAGAAACACATTTGGGTGTGGAAACAATATGCTTGGACCCTTTGCATCAAATCATGGGGATTTATGTCGGCCAACGACTTTTAAGAGCGATCCATAGTAAAATTCATGACCTAACAGCCACAATACTTACCAATGGTTCAGTTGAAATTGACCCATTCGATCGTGCCACCATTCCCCACCCCACCCAAAATCAATGGCATGAGACGATGGGTATGCCAACATTGAAAGGGCACCGAGCTGGCTGAAAACATGTAGACTGTTGAAGTGGTCTTAGAGTTTGGGTCACAAAACGACAAGTGCCGCAGCTTTTTCGGAAAGCAAAGCCTTTGCCTTCAAGAGTCGCGGTGCCTTTGGGGCTCTTCGATCCACTTCTGCAGCAGGAGCGCAAATCTCTGACCCGACTCGGTTGATGCGATCGAGGCCCCACGGCCCGGCTCGAGTCGCGATCCTTCCCTCCAAGCTGCCCTCCACAGCTTCCTTGAGGTGATCCTGCACTCCCTCGTCGTCCTCGAATTCTGACATCTGGCGAGACCCTTGCAAAAACATTTGCCTGGTTTGGCAAGTGCGGAAATCGCCATTGTCCAACCAAATGAAAATGTAAAGGGTTGCACCAAAGGGCAAGCGACTCCTCTGAGTCGAACTCTTGCAGAAGTCATAAAGCATACCTTTGGAATATGATATCAATCGGCAGATTCACTTCGGGCTCTTTGCTCTTGTCAAGGTTGTCTCCCTCTCAAAGCCACGGACCCGCAAGGCGGGGCTATGGAGAGGGAGAGCTATCCTTATTAATTAATAAGGCCGTATTAAGACCTTATCCTTGTTGTAGGGGTCCATGACAAAGATCGCAGGTTGACCGCATGGCCGGGTGCTTTGGACAAGTTCGCTATGGTCAAGACTCGTGTGGGTCATGGTCGTGGCCCATCCTTACAGTGGCGGCCTAAGAGCCCTGGCAAGGGGTTCATGACCATCCCTTCTACAACCCAAGAAGGAGGTTCCAGGCGATTTTTACCATGGATATGCTCAAACACCAAGTCCAGCCCCGCTGGCAACACATGCGTCAAGGGGCGAGCTCCTGCAACATGCTGAGATTTTTGTGTGGCGTGTGTGTGCAAGTGGTCTTGTTTGCGTTGCAAATGGACGGACGAATAGAACCCGGCCATTGAACCCCACCTGATGGGAATGGATTCCAACATTCCAACTGTTGACGTAAAGTTCCCTTGGCAAGTCTCACAGAAGGTACTCATAGCTGCACAGCCGCGAATGAGAACGCGAGCTCCCCACACCGGGGTCCTCCTCATCCTCCTCATCCTGCCAGGGCAAGCGGTGGCCATTGCACCAATTAAGATTTGCCCGGGAACCCCCCCACAAGTCGACAACACACCGGACCTCGGACAACTCATCATCCAGCACCACCTCCTGGTAGGCAGAAAAGCACCAAGGCTCAGCCGACCCTGATCTTACGGGACGCAAAACTCCAACACCGGGAAGTGTTTGCGAGTTCCTGAACGCGATTTGACTGAAGACGGGGCCCACAATTTCCGGTTGTCCTACATGGGTTCCTTGTCAAAAGCCAGCGTGCCGAAACTCAACTTGTCGGTCACCAAACCCCTGCGGTCATGGAAGGGGATGTCTCGAACCCGTAAAATGGGTGGCTTCTCTTTGATAAACAGTACCCTTTGAAAACCCTCACGCGTGAGGTCAATAACCTCCGCACCCCCTCGCCTCCATCTCGTCTCCAGCGCTGTCCAGCGCATCCTGTTGAAAATCCCAGAACACGACCCAAATGATTCGTAGGGTGAAAGTCACCTGAGCCCTTTAGCTTCCTACAGTCTTGAGTCACTCCCCGCGGGCCAGGACGAGTGGAAGCACAAAATCTTCCAGCTGTTGAACCTGATGTGGTTGCAAATTTGGTATGTCTAGAAAGTTGCTTGCCCTCCCTGGCTTTCCGATTGAACTTGAACTCCCCTTTAAACCACCCGCAAACAATGCCTTCCAAAAACACACACACACACACACACACACACACACACACACACACACATGGATTTGCACTCGTAAAATGGCCCACATTTAATCCAAATGCAAATATACCTTCTCACTGCCGCTCTTCACATGGACCATTCTAAACCTGACACAAACCTCCCTCAACCTCAGCCTTCTGGCCATCAAAGCCTTAGAAAACGTCCCAATCCACCCAAAAAAGAGGACGGTCAGAAGGCCCTGGTTTTTGTGCTAGTGAAGGAAAGCCATTCCAATTGTTTCCATGAAACTCCAGTGGTTTATATATATATATATGTATTAGGTGTGTACGTGTGCAAACAACACACCATATACACCACAAATACCCTGTTCCGTGGTTCCACACCCATTGGGTTCCCCACACACCTTCCTCGAATTCGCGCGAACTCGCCTCCGCCCCTTCCGCCAGAACGTCCACCTCGGCGAGGCCGTCGGCCTCGGCCAGGCCGTCGGCCAAGGATTCCTCGATCTGCTCCAGCTTCTCAAGGGCCTCGTCCCCCAGATCCTCCGCCAGTGCCTCGAGACGGGCCAATTGGCTCGGGCCGAGGGGGCCCTGGCATAGTAAGCCCGGCGGCTGGTGGAGGACCAGCTGTTCCGGGGACTTCCCAAACCACCGGCATTTTCGATATCACAGTACTTCGTGACAGGTTTCTGAGGCGAGCTCGCCAAGCAAAAGGAAACACTGGGTGGCACCCGCGAAACCAAGGAAATTCCACAAAACCTCTGGGGCCAACCCCTTGCTATCTGTTGACACACCCATTGCTTAAACGGCTTCTTGTTGATTTCCCTTTGAAGGGCACCAGGGTCCTGGTGGTTGCACCAATTTCGCCCGAACATGAAAAATATGATTGAGTTGTTTGGGGGGCCCTGTGTGTCTTCTGCATTTCTTGGCCAGCTCATTTGAGCGACAACCAGACTTCAATGACAAGTGTCAATGCTCTACAAAGCCCTTTCCAAGTCCAAAAACCCTGCTGCGCCGAACCTCTTTTGGCTTCGTCAAGGGTCGCCTTGGTTGGGTCGTGGCAAAACCGCCAGCTGGTTTTCCCTTTCGCCGGGCTCTCAGCATTTCCTTTGCATTGACCTCCACTCAAAAGGAACGCCTCCAGGATTTCCCACCCCAAGAACAAGGCGCCTCCTCCAGCACCTCCGGCAGGGGCTCCTCTAGCTCCACGCCCAGCGGGTCCAACTCCAGGGACTCCTTGCACAGCGCAAGTGGCCAAACCCCCCCCCAGCTTGCAGAATAGGCACCCTGCAAAGCGGACAGAACCCCTAACAGCTAACGGGGGCCCTCCCATTTTGCTCCTTTGCCTTACACGGGAGAAAAGCCGAGCACTCGAAGGCAATGGTGGCCATCAAGGCGTTGCCGCTGCCAGTCACTGGGACTCAAAAAAAAAAACGATATGCAGCATTCCCCCAAGCGGTTGCCAATGCACAAATTAATCATGCTCTTTGATCCATTGCCGCCAGCTCGACATATCCCACACGAAAGCGGTCCTCTACTAGCTCCGACTCCTGGCACAAGCGAACCAAAAACCATCGCCCGCGCGACCTTCACCTTCCCCCCAAGGTTTTCATTCCAACCTCCTATCAACAACGTGAATGTTCCTCTGGAACACCCCAAACTGGTCCGAATCTAAGCCACCAATTGGGGGCAAGTTAAAACCTGGCAGAATCCCGGCCAGCACCAAAACTCCATCAGGGCTTGCTTGAGAGTTGTCCCTTGTGCTTCCTGTTTTCAGCTAAACTATCTGCATCCTGACATAGCTGGTGGGGACATCAAAACACTTTGCGCATGTTTGCAACTGTTCACTTTCTATACGATCCCCTTCCAAGTTCGGCGTCCAAACGAAACACAAAAGAGCCCACAACGCCATAGCCTCCCAAGCCTTCACCAATTTCCCATCCCCCGCTCTCCTCAAGCGCCTTCTCTAAGTCTCCGTCGTGGTAATCCTACAGTGGGCGCGAATATGAGAGAGCCGTCTGTCAAGCATCATAATGACCTTACATGTTTCACATGCTTGCCGAGACCAACTCGCCTTGCTGTAAGCTGCGATGTTTCTGTCCATTCATCATCCACGCAAAGAACCCGCTTCCTGGGAATCAGAATCTACTCGAGAACTTCAGGGCAGAGTAGTTGGGCCAAATAATAATAATAACAAGAAGAAGAAGAATAATAAAATAAATAAACTAAAAAAAAAAAAGACGACAAAAAACTGTTGGGCCCCCGACCATTGCCACTTGTAAAGTTCCCGCACACGATCAGCTATTTGTTAACCCCCTAAAAGGCACAGAATGACGAGTTGTGGTATGAAACATGGGGATGTCCGGTCTCTCTTTCTTTGGGTGAAAGCCGAAAATCGTCCCAAGTAGCCGTGTTTTGTTAACGCCAGCGTGAGGCAAAAATGCAAAAGGCACAACTGAAAACAAATCAACACGAGCGCGTGCAGCCGCCCAAAGGATACAAGTGTTTTGCATGTCTGTTGTGCGCAACATGCATGGTCAGCATGCTTGTCCGGGTGCCTGTATGCACGGTCTATCATCACGCAAGGAAAGTGAAAAAACCATCCCAGGTGCAAGCTGCAAAGCGCAAGAAGAAGTGCGAATAGCCCAGCGTCAACAAACCGAACACCACGCGCCAAAAGGAAGCAGGAGGGATAATGTCATTTGTAGGTCCGTCAACCCCACATACACAAGACGTTGAATTCAAGATAGATGTCCCTTGATTTCTGTTGAAAACACGTCATGCCCAAAAAGGGTACCCTCCAACCAGAGGCAACAGCTGCAGTCCGGTCCTCGACATCACGAGCTGGCTCTTCTTGAAGGTTCTCCTCCTCTGCCATCTGTCAGATCTGTCAGTGTCACCTGAGGCAGCAAAGAACTAAAGCTTCTTCATGCAATATGGCGAAGGCCGCCACACAGGCCCGGGTGAGGTCTCTACACAGACGTTGAAAACAGCGCGAGCCCCCGCTTTCCGTGGCCGCACGCAATTGCCGCCAAGCTCAAGAAAGTGATGCGCTCCAACGAAGCGCCAACTGTCTGAAACTGGTACCGGGTCGCGCTTCGGATCAGCCAGCCACCATCAAGCTACGCCAAACACCGCAAGTTGGCGAGGAAGTCTCTTCGCCTCTTGGCTGTTTGGCTGGGGTTCAACGTGTGGAAGCGTAAGCAAAAGCTGCGTTTTGTTTGTTGGTATGGGCCAGCGTCAAAATCCGCCTTTGGATTTGCAAAAACGGGAGAAGCTCTACATCCCTCGATTTGCCAGCCTTACCTTACACACGAATTAGCAAGTCGCTGAAGCCCGAACAGCACAGGCGGCATGCTAGAGTTTGCGCAAAGTCGTGCACGTCTTCTAGCAGCAAATGGTAATAACGGTACATGATTTTCCCTTTAAACTTTACCCGGCGATCTGCGTGCGACATTGTTGTTTGTCGCCTGCGGCAAAATTCAAATTCGAGGACAGCCCTTTAAGAGCCGTCAACTCCCTGCGCACGTGGTCGGGGTAGGAGGAGCCCTTTAAAGGTCCTCGTACCTTGGCCTTCGGCCAAACAACCTGCAGTAGGAGCATCTCCTAAAACGCGACTTCCTGGTGGGATGGACCCAAAGAAAACAAACTGCTTACATCCAAAATGGACTGTTCAAAAAGCAGAACCTTGGGAAGTGGGTAAATGGGAGCCGCTGAGTTCCTTGCATCAAGTCATACATCCACATCCGAAGGGTCCAGCATTTCCACGCCGGGCTCTGCGGCCTCCTCCACGCGTGCTTTTGCCCTGGCAGAGATCGCACCAACCTCCTGCAACAGCTTCTGACCGTCCAGCCAATCTGCCAACAAGCCTCCATTGCCCAGAAGGATCTGCTGAAGGTGGTGGTTGAAGTTGTCCACATCCTCTTCAGTGCCGATCTTGGCGAGGATCGCCAGTTTGTCCTCCTCCCTTGAGGCCGAACAGTCCTGAACCTGAATCGATTTCAACCTGCCCGAGTTTTTCTCTAAAGCAGAGGGCGAGTGGATCATCATGTGCTGTTCCAAATGGCTGGCGTCGGCTTGCACCAGCTCTGCCACACACCATGCACGGGAGAAGATCATGAATTCGACATCAATGGCAACAACCTGCAGAAACTTGGGGCACTCACGATGCAGATACGCCATCATGTCATCGAACTTGTTCATCTCGCATCGGACTGGCTGGTCGTTGAGGTACTTGGGCGTAGCACAATCGCAGCTGGGCAGAACCTCCTGTGTCACAGTATCCCGGATTCCCATGGAGGTGCCACAAATGCTGGCGTGCTGATTGATGCAAAAGGCACAGATCCAGTACTGCCAGTGCAAGACGCCGTGTGCATAGAGCGCCTCCTCAAGGTGCCAACCGTTGTCTTCACGCTCAAACCGTGCCAACAGCTACAACTGGCCATGCTGAAAAGACACCTATTTGAACCTGACTTCCCTACGGAAAAGCAGGGCCTTGGCATTTCCGCCGTCCTTCAACTCTTCGACCCCCTCCGAGGACCTCAAACGCCCGGCGACCACATCCCAGCGCTTGAGGTCCAGCGCGTCAGCCAAGACGGCGGCCACCAGGTCGCAGAAGCGGTTGGACCAGTGGTGCGTCACCATCCTCGGGGTTGGGACGTGGGACGTCAAGGCCATGAAGCCATGTGCAACAAACTGAACCCCCATCCCCCATTTTATTCTGGGTTTGAGGATTCAAGAAGGATCCCAGCACTTAAACATGTTGTGAACCACTCTTCAAACAACCTCCTTTTCCTTTTGGTTGCCTTTAAGGGGGCTGTGCATAAACCTAATTTGGCCACACCTCGGCGTCGCAGAGGCTTTTGGCCCAAACTTCTCGGCGAAGGATCGGCCCATGCGGCCATCCCGACTGTTGGGGATCACCATATGGCGAACCACGTCGTTGGTGGTGGATTTCTTTGTGTCAAAATGGGGCATTGCATCCTCCTGCCCTAGCTGAAGAAAAAAATGCAACAGCACCTCCACAGAGACCCGCCTCAAGGCCAAGTCAGCCACCTTCTCCTGCCATTCTTCAGCCCGTTCGTCCTTTGCCCCGTTGAAGCAATGAGTCGCTGTCCTTTCGAGGTTCAGAGCGAATAGTTTCAAGCCTCCCTCGCTCGTCGACCCCGTTCGGGGTCGACACTTTATCTTCACGCCGGACTGCATAACCAGAGATGACATGATGCCCAAGGAATCCACATTTGAGGTAACCACCCAGATCAAGTACCACGCCTTACTCTTAGGCAAAATATAGTCACCGAGGCCGAACGAAAGGAAAGCCAAAATCATGCCGCATGAGCCCACAAGCGACCCCAGCTGGGATTTGTGGATGATGCGCATGGCAAAGGTCGTCTCTTTTTCGAGTTCTGCGGACAAAGCATTGTTCACATCAAGTTTCTGTGCTTTCAAGAGGTAGTTGTAAGGCACCATATAAGCTCTGCAAAGCAAAAAGCACATAGAGACAACACCCAGAGACAACATAATGGAATTGCCCAGCGCCACGACACGCGATATCACACCGAAAGCCTGCATAGTCACCATTGGAATCATCAGCCGTGAGAGCCACACAATCCCGGAGGTGCACTGCAAGGACTCGCCATATGCAGCCTGAAAGGCCACAAGCTGCTCGACCACCAGCTGCAGAAACCACACGTCTGCCACGAAATGGGTGCTATTGCCAAAGACGCTGAAATAGGCTGAGTCGGAGTCCAGTGGTCTAACGCCTTCATCATTGTAGTCCGGGACAACGCAGGAATCCACCGTGACAGTAATGGTATGTATCAGCTTGCCGAACCACGCAAAAATTATGCATCTGACCGCTTGTCTGACGTAAGCAGATGGCGGATGGTCTGCTAAGGTGACCCAAATTGCAAGCATCGCAAGGGGCCAAAGGAAGACAAAGCGCAAGCTTAGGTCCAACCAATGCTCATCAAAGCCTAGATCCCAAGGAGTCTTGGAGGTTCCACGAGAAGCCCGGCATGCCCCTTTGCCGCCATACAGGAGCCACGGAAGGGAAGTGACGAACGCGGTGCTCAAAAGAATCCCGACGCCACCGATGATGCGAAGTGGCGCTGGGAACGGATCAGTGTGGGCTCTCAGAACGAATGACAAAATGAAATAAATGAACAAGACCAAGAATATGGTCGCCAAATATCGGTGGAGGAATAGTAAAATCGCAGACAAAATCCCCAAGACGCTCGCCACCGTCCAACGTACGATGTTGCCGGCGCGATGCCCAAAGTGAACTCCGCGATATGCCATGGCGCAGGGTTTCGGATGTGCCGCAATGAGTTTGGTTTTTGAGTCGTTTAGGGACTATGTTTCCGGTTCAGTTCTCGAGGAAAAAGCCGTGCGCCCCAAAATATGTGAGAAACGGAAAGCCTCTCAAGTACTCAGAAGGCATCGAACCACTATGACCTTAGCTGAAAAGGGATTTACGAAGGTTTGCAAAATGCATCTTTCGGGATTTGGATTTGCACCTTTCTAAATAGGCGGCCCCTTGTTCGCACTGTAGATTCTACTGTAGATACGACAGCTGCGGGAATGACACTGCAATTTCTTTCGTGTCTGAGGTTTGACTGCTCCAGGTTTATACCCCAAGCAGGATCCTGAAAACGAAGATGAAGATGTCAAAAATCTAAAACAACTCTTTGTGAGATCCTTGAAATCCACGTCACGCGTCAAGCCCGGACAAGAGCTGGCGCAAAGGGGGAAGAAAAGCCATGTGGAGTGAAGAAAAGCATCTGAATTGGTTTTGCAGGTTTGATTACAACTGGCAGCTTGTGGTTGCAATTTGTTGCACCAGGGGGCCGGTTCTTGCACACTGGTCCTTGGACAATGGACAATACACAATGGACAATACCACTTTGTTGATGAACTTCCTCTTTTGCTGGAGCAAGAAGACACTGGCCATGTTTGGAGCTTTTGCAACAAACCCGAGAAAGATGTGTGATTGCACGAGACGATTTTTGCATGAGGGTGGTGTGAGTCTGGGCTAGGAGTAGTGCACAGGCCTTTAACATTGCGTGCTGTTCAAATTTTGGATGGCAGCGTTGTGGAACTTGACCTTGTGCCTTTTTTTGTTGAATATGGACATCGGACATTTGGTGGTGGCTCCCTTTTGTTACGACCTGAGTTGCTTTATGTTGTTTTGGCCTTCTGGTCTTGCCTCCCCTCTTTGTGTTTGCGCAGTTCCTGACCCTTTGTTTGGTTTTGGGTTGTTTGCGCCCCCCTGATTTTTCCTTGTTTGGTTTTAGTGTTTTCGCTGGGCCCTCAAGTTCAGTCAGCTACCTTGCTTTACCGCCGCTGGGGCTGTGGTGCTTGTTAATTTCTGTTTGCGTCGTGCAGTCTTTGTTCAAAGACAGTGGCTGCGAGGTGCAAAAAAAAGGTGGCTGCGAGGTGTCGAAAAGGCGAGCGCTGGTCTTGCTTCTCTTGATAGCGCTGGACGGGTCGTACTCTTTGTCTTGTCTTGTTTGTTCATTTTGTATCGCCAACGAGTTCTTGCGAGGTACAGTGATCCGGATACGATCCCTCCCATTGCTCGATGCATTTTTCTCCCACGTGTGAACTGCGCGCGAAGGTGGTTGATTGCTCATGTTGCCCTTTCAACAGAAGAAAATATTGCTGCCCGCTTGGTGTGGGGCAGGACTTTAATTGGGCGCGGGTGAAACCGATTTGGTTCACTTCTGGGTTTGGTGGGTTTCATCCACTGTGAACTCAACAATCTATACATCCTATCTCTTGTACAGACTTCGGATGGGGGGGGTGTTTTGTTGACCGCACTTGGAGCAATTGTTTGCCTCCCGGCAAGTAGGTTCAGGAACTCGCGTCGCAGGAACCACGCACTGACCATGATCCTCGAGTCACAAAGCTTGGGGGCCGCGGGCGGTTGGGTGATCTACTTTTGCTGGGTCAAGAACTTTTCCACTTCAACTTGACTTTCCTTTCAACCCTCAGTCAGCATATTTTCTTACACCTGTCACGTCCTTCTACCTGGTCACTTGCCACAGCCCCCGAGCCTTTTGTACCGGGTGCTTTGCCCTGTTCGTGAACATCGCTGAGGTCCTTTTTTTTCTCGGGGCTATCCCTTTCCGCAATGAACAGCAATTCTTATGCACCGGGAAAGTATCCATCTTCCAGTCATGCGTTTGGGCGATTCCAGCATCACTTGCAGCCCTCTCCTGCGAAATTACGTTGTTTTTTTCCTAAAAGATCTAATTTGTTGAATCCCTGTGAGCAAAAGCCAGGACAGGGTGAAGTTGAAACGTCTTCAGGAGCAAGCCTCCGCAGACGTCCGCCGTTGGAGGGTGAGGATTCGTTCCCTGCGACGGCAACACACGCCTGTCCTTGCGATGGAAAGCGCAGGCAAAAAGCAAAACAAGCGTGTCCTTGCCGGAAACATAGCACAGGCGCGGCTGTACTTAGTAGGGCTGGGTGGGAGGGCTTAACAGCGTGTCCAACCATGGTGAGCTAAGGCTAGGAACCCAACAAGGTCTAAAACACAAGGAACCCTAAGCGTTAAAGGCCTATACACTGCTCCTGGCCTCCACTCACAACACCCTCACGCAAAAAGCGGCTAGTGCTATCGCGCATCTTTTCCCCGGGTTTGTACCTGCGTCACTGCAACCCTGGAGCTGCTGCTATTTTTGCTCTATTCTGCCATTTGCGATCACGCAGGTCTGCTGTTTCAGCGCAGAGAAACAAATGGAAAACACGTACTGAGGAAAGGCACCAAACAGCCTAAGAAACACAGCACAAAACCAACAAGCAACCAAAACCCAAAAACAAGGGATTCCTCAGCACAGAGCACCATGTTCGAGCTTCAGCCATGCAACAACAGTGGCTCGCGAAGAGCGACATAGTGCCTCAACCAGAATTCTGATCAAAGCAAAAACCAGGAAGAGTGCATGAAGGAACCGAAACGTGACAGAATCACGAAAAATGGTCCACTGCGTTGACTGGCAAACGGGAGTCTTAACCACACGACCGATGTAGAGATGGGGTGATAAGGCAATCCCGGCAATGACTAGAAGCATTGAATTCAAGCGAAAAGCTTAAGAGTGCCCAAAGGAAGATATATACACCGCGCTCACTCGTATGTACCGGAATCGCATACGAAGCACTCATCAAGCAAAAACATCAGATTACGCAACGGACATGTCCATTCCTCAGCCTTTGTCGGAGTAATTAATCAGCAGCATGGCGCAAAGCCCGGCAAAACCTGAAAAATACCATTGACAGCTGAACCGCCCGTGAGATGTAGAAATATGATCACACGTGAACGACCCCGCAGTACGTCATTGAAGCACAGACGGAAAGTCATGACAGCGCGCCTGTAGTATAACCAAGAAGCGCCGCCGCCCGAAAATAGGAGCACACGTGAACCAGAAACGACCCCGCGGTACGCTAGTAGAGACTAAGACATGCGGGCTGTCAGCCGTATTGCACTACGCGCTTGCTGCATGCCGAAATTTGTACCGCCGAAAGAAATGTGTAGGAGGGCTTAAATCGGAGGCGACCCCGCAGTACGTCAGAACGTGGACGAAAAAAAGTGTAAAGCAAAGCCAAAGCAATCACCATGAAACCCCTGCTCAAACACTCCTGTTGCCGCACCCTGCTTTTTCAACCGCTCACTGCTCGCCAGTGCAAGTTGGTGTGGACGTTGCAGCGACACTGGCACGTAATGGATGCGAAGTGGTCCCAAGCAGCTTCAAAGAAAGAACTGGAGCTGCAGGATCTTCAAGGAAACTGGAAACAAAGCCGCTGAAGCTTGAATTTTCTTCTGACAAGCTAGCAGTCACTTCTTGCAAGTAGTGTTGGAGTGTATCGACATGCTTTAGGCGCAGAGCCCACATCACATTAGTGATGGTGGCACCTGCTCTGTACTTGTGAACTGCACCTCACCCCTGAGTGACGCAGGAGTGAACTGGAGAAAAACTGGTATCCCCAATGCTTTCAGGTTCGCATTTCATCGCCGGCGAAAAGTTGAAGGCGTGGCTCCATACAACGGCTCGTCGCTTCTACTAGCACCGTAAACAAGCTGGCAAAGCGAGATGGTTCATTCCATTTTTGGCCTTCCCCCTCTTTTGGTGTTAGAATCTTGGTCACTGCTTCAAGCCTAAAGGGACATGCAGGGAAAAAAGCAACCGACCGGAGCAAACTCGATACGCGCTTTTTTACTTGAGCGTTGCTTAGAAGTGCAGGCTCTGAGATGCAGGTGGAGTGACGATGCGCGTCCACTCCATCTTCCTGCATCTCATGCGGAGCCTGTCGGAATACCCCCTGTGGTCAACATTGCGTGTTCGACCATCACACAGGGTGTTTTACCCATGGGGTGTGAGACAAATAGGAGGTATTTTGCACATCGGTATGCAATGCGTGCATAGGTGCGCACGGGAGGAGTGCGTCCTCCTGAAGGGGACCAGCCTGGTCCGACAGAATGCCGATGGCATTCAGCGATGTGCGACTGCGCGCACAGCATGGGTTCAAACTGGTGTGGCCAACGAGGAATGCGTCCTCACTGCATAGGCTTAAACTGGTCCTGCGGGATCAGTAAGCCGACAACATGCTTGAAGTGTGCAAAGGATGCGTCCTCCTGCAAGCCAGACCGGGCTGGACAGAATGCCGATGGCATTCGATAATGTGCGATTGCGTGCACAGCGTGGGCCTAGCTGCGTATGCTCGAAATGGTCCTGCGGGAGCAGCGAGAAGCAGCAAGCCAACGACTGTTGGAAGCTAACAAGCGTCCATTCGTGCGGGCGCATGCGCCCCTCAATCAGGCCTGGTGGAAGCTGGATGCCACCTGGGCCGTGAAAGGGTGGGAGGGTGGGTTCAAAAAAGAACGAAAGAGGGGTCAAACCCTCCAGGCATGTCCCTTACCAAAAGGCTTGAAGCAGAAATGGCCACGCGGCCGAAGATTCAACCAAGATTAAAACACAGGGGAAAAGACAAACCCCTAGCGTTAGAATCTTGGTCACTGCTTCAAGCCTAAAGGGACATGCAGGGAAAAAAGCAACCGACCGGAGCAAACTCGATACGCGCTTTTTTACTTGAGCGTTGCTTAGAAGTGCAGGCTCTGAGATGCAGGTGGAGTGACGATGCGCGTCCACTCCATCTTCCTGCATCTCATGCGGAGCCTGTCGGAATACCCCCACTTTAGAGTTCTAAGCAAACGGTCAAATCACCTTACCCCCTCTTTAGTGCGTTTGCGAAGCAGCCACGTGCTCGGGTCTCCACGGTGCGTCCGCAGGGTGAAGCGTGAGAGCTGATGCGTGAGGCCAGAAATCATGCGGCCGG